CATACATCAATTATGCCCAATTCAGTCATAAGGTTGCGTGGTATATAGGCTTTTTGTTTAAAGCAGAAGATGTTGAATCTTTGGAAGAGTCTAATTTAGGATCCAAGCAAAGGTTCCAGTCACCTCTACAGATCACAGTTCCTGATGCTCCACTTATCAGATCAAGAAGTCTCCTATGAAAAATAAATGTACGTCCAGGAGGGATAGGTGTTGCATATTACTACTTTTAAAATTTTACCATTCACTTTTATACCTAGCTTCTTTATCCGATACTTGTGATACATATTCAAAAAGGCATTTTTAGTGATATTAGGATTATATCCTCTTCTTCGTCCTTTATACGACGAGGAAAGCCCATTCTTTTCAACTTCTCATGTTCTAAAGCAGAAAGGTGTGCCTCTTGAAGCATTACTATTTCAGCTTTTTCACGTTTAACTTTTCCTTGTATCGGTCCTGTAGTTTCACCTGTTGCTGCTCTCTGCTCTAGGTGTTGCCAGGTCGAATCTCATCTTGGTCTGCGGATTTCACAACATTGACCTGGTAGAGGGGAGCTCCGTCACTCCGTCAACGTATATAGGAGGATTTCCCCAAATTTTTTGAAAAGAACCGCCCTTTCCACTTTAAAAAAAACAAACAAAAAAACTCTTTGGTCTTATTTGACGAGCACATATCACCAGAATGATTGACAATTAGGAGGACCAATAGTCTTAATGATACACAATGATTACTGCCTTTTTAGACCCTTTACTGCCTTCACCTTACTGCACTGCTTAAAGTGATAGTCTGGACTTTGTCAGAAAAAAGAGAGAGAGGTGCAAGCTCCCTCCCCCTTCCTTTCTGATTGGTCTTGAAGCCGCGCCTACTTTTCCGTGCACGTGCCAGGTCAATGGGCCAAGACGTGCGGAGGAGAGATTAATAAACATTTTAGGACACATTTGCAGAGGATCTGATTATGGATATCGGTTGAGTTCATATTTGGATCACTCACGGCGTGACCCGTCTAGCCACGTCACGGCGAAACCTTTGGGCGCAAACTATTTTATACATATCATTTAAAAAAGATAATGTCCATTACAGCTTTGAATATTAAGAGCTGTCTAATATGTCATGTCATTTTCTACCCCTTTATTAATCAATTTCTGGATCGGCATGCCACCCAAATCTCATAGCACCAGTCCACGGGAAGATGGCTTCTCTGTCATCAACGAGATGGCCTTGGTCTTTCAGCGGGGGCTTCAGGCAATGTGGGGTTAAGTGTCTTGCCCAGGGACACAACGACAGCAGACATCCTGACACGACCTGACATAATGGGAGAAGGCGACATGGGTTGTAAGTAAGTTAGTAAGTAAGTAAGTTTTTATTTATATACCGCCTTTTCACTGCAGATCTGAGTCTCAAAGCGGTTTACAATTGTTAATTATGGGCATTTGTCTCTCACTCCACACAGAGATGGGAGTGGGGTCGCCAGTACAGGAGGCGCATGCCAGAACTATTGGACATATTTTTAGTGGTAGGGGAAACCGGAGTACCCGGAGGAAACCTACGCAGACACGGGGAGAACATGCAAACTCCACTCAGAAAGGCCCTGGTCTGACCGGGATTCGAACCCAGGACCTTCTTGCTGAGAGGCGAGAGTGCTATCCACTCAGCCACCGTGCCGCCTGCCGCCTGGTTGTTGCGGGCTCAAACCCACGAGCATTAGGTCTAAAGACCAGTGCTCTACCAACTGAGCTACTGTCACCCCTCTGGGGCTGTCTAATGTTCGTTCGACTATATATATATATATATATATACAGTATATATATATTTAATATTCGAATTATAATATTGCACGATGATTGACAGCCCTTGGCATCACTTGATTGGTTAAAGTGGACGGCATCGTGGATTTTGAGCTATGGCTAAGATAATGGAAGGCGGGACTTACCCATAATATTATGTTTCATTAAATTACTTATTTATATCAACATTTAAAGCCAGGAGGTCAATTTAATACAATTCTTAAAATTTGCAATTATTTTAGAGTTCCAGACTATCAGTTGTATATAGTATAGTGCGCACCGAGTGCACTTTTATATAGTAATGTGGTGACCCACAATGTTGTACGGGTTGAGAGTTTCCCCAAGTTATTCCACTAGGTGGCAGAACAGTTCTATGAGAGTTTTGGGTATCCTGTTCTGAGTGAAGGAGATGCTGTATGCTAAATGGTGTGTAGCTGAAACAAATTAAGAGTGGAAGTTGACGTCGCCAGACACTGTCTCCTGTCTCATACTTTTCCCAACTCCAAACTGGTGACCCCGGCGTGAGTACGTTTTCGCTACCACCATGTCAAACGACGACCACTGGCTGCGCCTGAACCGGCTTACGTGGAAGCAGCTCCTCCCGGTAACATCCGTGCTACGGCTGTCAAGTTGCCCGAGTTTTGGCAGCATAACCCGCGCCCGTGGTTTCAACACATCGAAGCCCAATTCCAGCTGGAGTTGGAGGATCCACCAGCCGAGGACAAGTACGCTGCTCTTAAAAAGTTTTTGCTGGGACTGTACGAACTCTCTGAACTCGAAAAGGCGGACCGTTTATTGTCACTAAATGGCTTGGGTGACAGTAAACCATCTGAGTTGATAGAGAAAATGCTGGCGGTGATGGGCACGGCAGACCCCGCATTTCTTTTCCCTCACATATTTCTACTGTACGTCAGCTTCCAGTACCCATGCGTACGGCTTTGGCCAGTTCTTCTCTCTCCTCCTCTAAAAACTATCGTGCTCTGGCTGCTGAGGCAGACAGGGTTTTTTTGGCTAATCGGCAGCAGTTTGTGCATGCTCTGCTCCCCACCCAGCCGCACGCTGTTGTTTCGCGCCAGTTTCATGAGGACACCCCTGAGACGGCTGCAGCAGTGGCGGCCCGCCATCAGCATGAGGACGGTCTGTGCTACTATCACAGCAGGTTTGGAGTGAAGGCGAAGCAGTGCCGTAAACCATTCAGTTTCCGGCCTCAGGGAAACAATAGCGGCTATGGGCGCGGGCCATGACTCCAAGCTGCTTTTCATCACTGACACGTTGTCTGGGCGCCGCCTGCTGGTTGGCTCGGGTGAACAGCGTAGCATCCTGCCAGCACGACCCGCGGACACTCTGGCTGACGAACACGGCCCCCGTATGGACGCCGCCAACTGCACGCCTATACGCGCGTACGGTACAAGGTGTGTAGAGGTGTGTTTCAGCTGGGATTTTGTAATTGCTGCTGTGTCTACACCATTGCTTGGAGCGGATTTCCTCTGTGCATTCAGGCTGCTGGTGGACATAACGGAGTGCCGCCTTCTTGACGCTCTCTCTTTTGCTTCATACCCCTGCACGCTTGGGGGGGTGGGAGCGCTCAGCCTGTCAAACAAGTTAGCCGCAGGGGACGCTTACCAGCGCCTGCTTGCAGAATTTTCCGAACACACCACGCCCATGTTCTCATCTGCAGTGGCTAAACATGGCGTGGAACACCACTTGACCACAGCGGGCCCCCCAAGTCTACGCTCGAGCTCGGTGCTTGGACTTGGATTGCTAAAGAGAAGTTTGCCACCATGGAGCGGCTCGGAATAGTTCGGCGTTCTAAAAGCCAGTGGGCCTCCCCATTGCATATGGTTTCGAAGGCTGATGGGGGTTGGCGCCCCTGTGGTGATTTTCGTCGCCTGAACAATGCCACTGCCCCTGACCGTTACCTGGTGCGGCACATACACGATTTCTCCGCCCACCTGGTGGGCACCACCATCTTCTCAAAGGTGGACCTGGTGCGCGGTTACCAGCAAGTGCCAGTTACGGTAGCGGTCATCACACCCTTTTGCCGCGTTCAGACTGGATCATACTTTGCATCTACTTTCAATGCAAAGTCAATGGTGACACGCATTCGAGCGTCAAAACGCACGGACCTCAGTAGAGACGCACGGACTTGGCGGGAAAGTCAAAGGGGAGGAGCAGGAGCGGAAAATGGACGCCCACAGGAAATGGATTCTGCTCATCCTTTCCTTGGGACGTTCGTGCAGCGACCAATTAGAGAGCCGCAAAGTGGTCACGGCGACATTAGCGGACTGAGCGATCAGACTGAACATACTCGTAAACAGCCAAAACAGGACCAACACCAGGCTTCACCAGAACTCAAACCAGGGTTGACAATGGGGGACGGTGTGCTTGTGAATATATGCGTTGTCATGCTCCCGTGACCTTATGCAACTACTTCGAGTGTGTTCGCCGATGCGGAAATACCGTTTAATAATACAAAAAACGTATGGCGCACCTTCGTGAACACATACTACTGTTATAAAGTCCGTGGAAGGTCTCTGAACAAAGACACGCTGCAAAGCTGCATATTGGAGAAGATCTTTACACAAGAAGCCGCTAGCTAAACTCTGTTAGCATTAGAGCCGGCCGGCTACTTCTGCTTCTGGCATTTCCGGCGCTGGCCAGGACGTTCTGGTGTGAAGACCCCTGCGTCTGAAAACTAGAGATTGCGCGTCTGGTGAGTGGGGCTTCAGCGTTTGAGCGTTTGCGGTCTGAAAGCACCATTTGGCCTATTCGAATTTTTATGCATGCCATTCGGCCTCAAAGGGGTGGCGCAGACGTTTCAGCACCTGATGGACAATGTACTACTGTAATTTTTATTTATATACCGCCTTTCACAGACCAGAGTCACAAAGCGGTTTACAATTGTTATTATTTTTGGGCACTTGTCCTCTCCCTCCACACAGAGATGGGAGCAGGGTCGCCGAACAGGAGGCACATGCCAGACCTATTGTACATATTTTTAGTGGTAGGGGAAACCGGATCACCCGGAGGAAACCTACGCAGACACGGGGAGAACATGCAAACTCCACTCAAAAAGGCCCTGGTCCGACCGGGATTTGAACTCCGGACCTTCTTGCTGAGAGGCGAGAGTGCTATCCACTCAGCCACCGTGCCGCCCACAAGTGGTTAGTTTACCTTGACGACATCCTGGTAGCCTGCGCGTTAGCGGAGGTCCACCTTATGCACCTCCGTTTACTGTTTGAGCGTCTTAAAGAGCACGGCCTCATCATCAACTCGGCCAAGTGTGAATTTGGCCGGTCGTCCATCACCTTCCTCGGCCACCATGTCACTCCGCAGGGGGTGATGCCACTCCCTGCGAAGGTGAAAGCAATCATTGATTTCCCGCGCCCTAACACCGTGAAGCCCCTGCAGGAGTTCTTGGGGATGGTAATTTTTTATAACCGGCATCTCCCCCGCGGTGCTCACCTCATGCGGTTGCTGTATGAAGCTTTACGGGGTAAAGGACCTACAGTGTGGACTGGTCCGCAGAGATGACGGGAGCGTTCGAGGCTACCAAAACTGCTCTTGCCAACGCCACCTTACTGGCGCATCCGTCTCCCACAGCCCCAGTGGCTCTCACAACAGACGCCTCCCTCGGATTACGCGGTTGGGGCTGTGTGCGAGCAGTTGGTGCGCGGAGCTTGGCAGCCGTTGGCCTTTTTCAGCAAGAAAAGCTCCGCTCCAGCGAGAGGAAATACAGCACTTTCGACAGGGAGCTCCTGGGTCTATTCCTTGCCACGCGCCATTTCCGTTTTTTGTTGGAGGGGCGACAGTTTACGGCGTTCGTTGACCACAAGCCGCTGATATTTGCCATGGCCAAGTCGACAGAGCCGTGGTTGGCAACAACGTCAACTCTCTGCAATCTCGGAGTACACCACCTACATTCAACACGTGGCGGGGACAGACAATGTGGTTGCGGACTGCCTTTCAAGGGCAGTGGTAGGGTCTGTCCACCTGGGCCTGAACTATGCAGAGATGGCAGCGGATCAAGTTGCGGACCCCGAGGTCCAAAGTTACCGGACAGGCCCCCCCGAACCGCTTCAACTGGCCCTTTTTATATAGTAATGTGGTGACCCACAATGTTATACGGGTTGAGAGTTTCCCCAAGTTATTCCACTAGGTAGCAGTACAGTTCTATGAGAGTTTTGGGTATCCTGTTCTGAGTAGAGTGAGATGCTGTATGCTAAATGGTGTGTAGCTGAAACAAATAAAGAGTGGAGTGTTGACGTCGCCAGACACTGTCTCCTGTCTCATACTTTTCCCAACTCCACAGTAATAATGTTTTAGTTTTTTAATGTTTTTATGCCTTATTCTTTGACTACGTTTGTCTTGTTTGCACTGTGAGCCAAAGCAGATTCCTAGTCTGACTTCCTGTTACTTACATGGCATTAACATCCCATATTCAAAACGTTTTAACACCTCAATTGGAAAGTCGTGATTTACAAAAAACACATATCGTCGAAGAACACCTTCTGCCATTCTCACCTCATGACCTCTTTGGTGCGATAGCTTCCAAGTGACATTCAAGTGACTGGCCTTCGGGAAAGCAAGCGCCTTTTTCAATAAGTTGTCCAAGAATAATAAAATGTTTGTTCCATCTCTGTCCTCTGGTATACCATTAATGCAGAAAATCTCTCATGCGCGACCCCATATATCCATGGCGTGACCCTCTTTATCTATTATCCACCCTTTTATCAACTCATTTCATTTCGTTTTTAATGTCCACATGTTGTTCATTATTGTCTCTGAAATCACAGAGCTCGGCTCAGGTGCAGCCTCGTGCTCGTGGACTAGGACTAGCCCCGGAAACGGCTATCCTCGTCATGGTCTTTGTCGATGTTGTTGATCTTGTCTTTCCTTCTCATTTCCATGTTTCAAACATCACCCGTGAATGTAAAAAAAAAAACACCTTTTTCAAAGTGAAACCGTTGGGAGCTCCAAAATCAAGATGCCATTCCCTCCGCTAGCAGAGCCGGAGGTCCCATTTCAACAGGTCTGCTTCTTTGCCCTGTCTTATACTTTCGACCGACCATTAGTATTTTGAATTAAATCATTGTTTAGTCAATCTCAATATTTAGGCCCCAGTAGTAGTTTATCACCACCGTGTATGAAGTGAAAGAATAATGACATCTGAAGCGTCTTTGAGTGTCCAAAGGGCTAATCTAAACTTATGCGTTTAGTTAAAGCACCCTAACAAATGAATGGCTTATTTCTACCCAGTTTACAGTCTGTACAGTAGACTGCTGCGAGAAACTGATAATAAGTAAGGGGTCCCCAAATATAGAGTCTATACTTACGCCTCTCCCTCTCCGTAGTCCAGTGCATTTCGACATGTGCTCACACACAGCTGCGCAGTGAGTTCAAGCCCCTCACAGCCCTCTCCAGTTTTAAATGGATGTTTTTACTGTTCCTGCAGACAGGCCTAAAGGCTGGTATCTTTCTCTCATGGCGCCTAACACAAAAGGACCTGCGTTTGCCTGGCTTGACCCCTCCAGACTCTACTGTAATTCACAGGTCAAATAGTGCTAAACTGGACCTGGGCTGGCCATAGAACATGTTTTATCTCTTGTCTCTCCTCAGGCGCTTGCAGACTGCGTCAAAGATCTTCTCGAGCCATTCCACAATGACAGCGTTGATATTGTTGCAGGGATTGATGCAATGGGCTTCATTCTTGGTGAGGAAACTTTGTCTCCTGGTTGTGTTTGAAAAGGACATTGGCATGTTTAGGGCTTGGGAAACTTAGCCCACAGTCTAAATTTAGGTTCTCACTGCTATTTCAAATGCACCCCAGACAAATGTGCTGTGTGATGTACATACAGTAGTATAATCATCTGCTTGTTTTAGGAGCCTGTGTGGCCACAACGCTTGGAAAAGGCTTTCTGGCAATTCGCAAAGCAGGACATTTATGTGTAGACACCCAAAGCCAAAACTACAGAGATTACTCGGGCAGAGACAAGACCATGGAAGTGCGGCTGGATGTACTCAAAGCAGGTTTTTTGTAGCTTAATTCTTTTTTTTTCCTTCATAAATGTCAGACTGCTTTCTCTCACTATGTTTTCTCAACTGCTATTGTTCAGAACAGGGGGAAACAACATGTAGATCTGAATGAATACGCACAAATAGAATACGTTTCATTTTCAAATAACAGTAGCATGATAGTTGTATTGCATCTCCTCTGCTACAGCGCCCTCTGCTGGTGAACTGAATGAACCGTTTAACCCTGGACTGTTGTTGTAGGTGTCAGAGTGTTGCTTGTGGATCAATGGATAGAAACAGGAGGAACCATGAAAGCTGCGATTGAGCTGGTGGAAAGATTTGGTGCAACTGTTGTGGGTCAGTGTACTGCTTAGTGACATTTTAGCAAACATAGTGGATTGTTTCACTTTTCTTTTTGTGCTTGTAGGTGTTGCAGCTGTGGCTATTGAAAATACTGAAGGTGGACAGTGGATAAAGAAAAAATACAAGTTCTCCCACTGTATTCCTGAGGAGCTCCAAAGCCAAATTGATCAAAAATATCTGGACTCTTTCAAAGTGAATTGTGTTAACTAGAGATCATACCTTTTGGGCAAAAATCTTTATTTTATACACATTTGGAGACAAAATTTAAAATACTGTCAGTGGCTTCAATACTTTTAAATAGAACAGGACAAACTTCCCTTTTAAATTATAAACAATGTCATTTGATAAAGAAATGTAATGGCAAAAAACAAAATATAATGTGGCTGCAAAGGTAACAAAGAGCGTCAGCAGATAATTCAGTAATACGAAAATGTTAAAGATGAGAAAACAAGCAGCTCAATCAGTCTTGCGTATAAATGGTTATTTGTACCAGTCTTCTACACTGTAATGAATGGTCCTTTGCATTACCTAAACGGGCAAAGACCACATAAAACCCACAGCTCATGGAAGAATCCAAGGCCAAAGGAAAAAGTGAACGAGTCGCTCCGCTGCACACTCACTCACTGGCAGCAGCTCGCCTGCTTTTTCTTTGCAGAACTGTTGACGTTACTGGAGTTGCTATTTATCCCTGAAAGGTTTACATAAAATTAGGTTTTATCTCCATGAGCAAAGAAAATACAGAGCATAAATACATACTGACAACATCTCCAATTTGTCTTGTCCCACTTTTCTCAAGCTCTGCAAGAACGTTCATCTCAAAAGCCAACGACGCCACACGAAAAAAGAACTCTCTTACATTCTCCCCTTGAAAAGAACAATACCTATTAGTTACATAGTAAAACATAAATGGTCATCCGTCTCAAATTCTAGTACACATTAAGAAGAGTACTTTGCAAGGCAGGCAATAATTAATGTATAGCATATTAATTAAGGTTTGAGAAGAGAACCTCACCGTTTCTGTGCTAGCTCACCGAGAGCAAGGTGCAGTTGTTGAAATTGTACATACAGTGCCTTGCGAAAGTATTCGGCCCCCTTGAACCTTTCAACATTTTGCCACATTTCAGTCTTCAAACAAAGATATAAAATTTTAATTTTTTGTCATGAATCAACGATAAGTGGGACCCAATCGTGAAGTGGAATGAAATTTATTGGATAATTTAAACTTTTTTAACAAATAAAAAACTGAAAAGTGGTGCGTGCAATTTTATTCGGCCCCTTTACTTTCAGTGCAGCAAACTCACTCCAGAAGTTCAGTGAGGATCTTTGAATGATCCAATGTTGTCCTAAATGACTGATGATGATAAATAGAATGCACCTGTGTGTAATCAAGTCTCCGTATCAAACAACGAGAAGACTGATCAGAGATGCAGCCAAGAGGCCCATGATCGCTCTGGATGAACTGCAGATAACTACAGCTGAGGTGGGAGAGTCTGTCCATAGGACAACAATCAGTCGTGCACTGCACAAATCTGGCCTTTATGGAAGAGTGGCCATTTCTCAAAGATATCCAATAAAAGTCTCGTTTAAAGTTTGCCACAAGCCACCTGGGAGACACACCAAACATGTGGAAGAAGGTGCTCTGGTCAGAAGAAACCAAAATCAAACTTTTTGGCCACAATGCAAAACGATATGTTTGGCGTAAAAGCAACACAGCTCATCACCATGAACACACCATCCCCACCTCAGCTGTAGTTATCTGCAGTTCATCCAGAGTGATCATGGGCCTCTTGGCTGCATCTCTGATCAGTCTTCTCCTTGTTTGAGATGAAAGTTTGGAGGGATGGCCGGGTCTTGGTAGATTTGCAGTGGTCTGATACTCCTTCCATTTCAATATAATTGCTTGCACAGTGCTCCTTGAGATGTTTAAAGCTTGGGAAATCTTTTTGTATCCAAATCGGCTTTAAACTTCTCCACAACAGTATCTCGGACCTGCCTGGTGTGTTCTTTTGTCTTCATGGTTCTCTCTGCGCTTTAAACAGAACCCTGAGACTATCAAAGAGCAGGTGCATTTATACGGAGACTTGATTACACACAGGTACATTCTATTTATCATCATCAGTCATTTAGGACAACATCGGATCATTCAAAGATCCTCACTGAACTTCTGGAGTGAGTTTGCTGCACTGAAAGTAAAGGGGCCGAATAATAATGCACGCCCCACTTTTCAGTTTTTTATTTGTTAAAAAAGTTATCCAATAAATTTCATTCCACTTCACGATTGTGTCCCACTTGTTGTTGATTCATGACAAAAAATTAAAATTGTATACCTTTATGTTTGAAGCCTGAATTATGGCGAAATGTTGAAAGGTTCAAGGGGCCGAATACTTTCGCAAGGCACTGTACGTACATGAAACAAGCTCAAACCACAGATGCTCCTCCATCCCCTACAAATACTGCTACTACTGTTAATACTGCTGTTGCTGTTAATGCTACTGCTAAGACCGCTACCTACTTACTGCAAATATAGTAGTGAGAAATGCAGGCACCACATGAACACTTGTTCATATAATGCAGAATTTAAAGTAGAGTATTAGGTTTTTGAATATCTATTTTATTATTAAATCATACAGGTGTTCCTGTAAATATATCATTATTGAAATAACTGATCAAGAGAGTAATTTTCAAATGTAAAATTTACGGCACAAAGTTCAAATAAATACATTTTCATTTGAACACTATATTCTAAGCCATTTTTAAGACATACCTGAAAGTGAAGAAACAGCCCAATATTCAGCACTCATCTCTTGTGCTATTTTAATGGCATCTTGTTCAATTTGAATGTACTGCGCTGGTGACTGTAAAGAGACAGAGTTTACAATGAGAACATAATAAAACGAATGCCGTCAGTGACCCAGTTTTACGAATGCTTTTGGGGTTATGGCCAAAGGAAAGGCACATTCCTGAGGTTCTGCTGGACATAAAGGCTCTGTGTTAACTGCATCAACCGTCCACATCTGACCCTTGTAAAGTCCATGTGCTGCTGTGTTCAAATAGTGCTGTGAGACATGCGCTGAAACCAAATCTAATACACACCAACACTTATATCTTACAAATAACCATCAAAATGAAGTAAAATCAATATTAAAACTGTACTAAAAACGGTGGATTTCAACTACACTTCAAAAAAAGCTGTTTTTGAAATGGCCCTTCATTTAAGAAAACTAAAAGATAGTTTATTCGTCCCACAGTGGGAACATTTTGATCAATCTGTAATGCAAGTTTGTATACTTGCATTGAGGACTTTTATATTTAAATAATCTAAATCCACTCAAATTAGAAATATTAATAAGTAAATTAGTAAGACTTTAAACTTACACTCAGGTCTTTCTTTGTCCCCACAATAAACAGCTGGACACTAGTTGGGTCGTTCTCCTTCAAGGCGTCTTCCAGCCACTGTCTGCCAACATAAAGCACAACTTTAAATACAGAAATGTTTAATTTTTAGATAAAACCACAGGCTTACCTTGTGTGACCCAATGAGGCTACGTCAGTCAAGTCAAATACAATTATTACAACTGCAAAATATATGTTATGTTAAACCATTTGTTAAATCATGGCATTTGTCACCAACAATCATTTTATGATCAACTACTATTCAAGTAGTCAGAATATTCTTAAATACATACATTTTAGATAAGAAAGGTAAATAGTAATACATTGGATTTATAGAGTCAGTGCATTTTAACTCAATGACAGATGTGGGATCAATATTGTTTTACCTTATGCCATTTTGACTTTTGTCAAAGTCTTTTAAATCAGTATTAATTTGTAAAGAGTTCCTATTGTCCATCATTTGAGAACCAGGATTCTCAAATGATGTTGAAGTGACAATTTGTTCCAGAGTGGTTACAGTAATAACTATTATAATTTCTCACACACAAACTGTCCTCTCACTGTGAAGCGATGGCATTCAGAGTTCTTCACTAAACCTTTCATTCTGTAGACGTAGACTATGCTAAACCTTAGTCCCTTATTTTACCAACTTTTACAGCAGGAGGAAGTAACAACAAAACATTCTCTTTTGTAATACATACAATTGTGTATAATTAATCATTATACCATAGTTTACACTTTAAACCATGGTATTATGTACTGCACCTGTACATTGTTATCATTTTAACTAGTACAGTAAGACTTAACCTTACTTTGGGCACCTCTGTAATAGGTGGAAGCAATACACTTGAACCTCTCTTGGCCTGCTGTGTCCCATCTGTGGGGAAAAAAGAAAAAGACAAATCGAAAGGATCAGATGAAGTATTTTACTGTCTGGGTCTTGTTTCTGTCTTGTCTGTCGGATATTCTCCTTTGTTCATCCTCTTTTGTTTTGCCTTTATTGTTTGATACCTGTTGCAAAGAACTTTGTTTAGGGTGTAGTTGGGGCATCTTTTTGTTTTGAATCGTTATTGTCATCTGTCAAGGCCTTGAAATAATTAAAGGCACACCGTGTAACTCTTGGCCACTAGGGGCGCTAGACCTGCAACTTTCACGTTTAGCGCCCCTAGTGGCCACAAGCAACTCAGCACTGTCGCAAAAGTCAACAGTCAGCCGGTGTCTTTTGAGTGTGTATTGAGACAGCATGCACTGGTGTGTGTGTTCAAACTGTAGAGACATGCCTACAGATATTGAGAGACTCTGCTGTGGTCAGCCTCCAGACCGCTGCATTAGTAATCTACCACACATGGACTTCTATATCCTGGACGAGGGAGTTCTGCGTCTAGCTCGTGCTGCGTGGAATGACATCTTTGCAGTCGATGACATCCAGGAACCAGGTGAAGAGCAGCGCTCATACAGACATGCAGCTTACAGCACGATCCCTTTCGCGTTTCCTCTTTTTAGCCTCCTCCGAAGGTTTAAAATTTTTCCTTGCCTCAGCCATGACCAGGAGTCGAGCAGGTGAAAAATGAGTAGCAAAAGCCTTAGCTCCATGAGTATTTCAGCGCCTGTAGCCGTAAAGCAAGTCTTTCTTCCAAGTCACGTGACCTGGTGGCAGACGGTCCGTCTGCTCGAAAGTTACATGGGCGGTATTTCAAGAGGGCAGCCCCGCTCGGAGCATTGCAAGTGTCAAGCGCTGTATATTGGCCCAAGTATTCATATAAAATAACTCATATGTGTCAACTCTTTAGGTCACAAAGTCCGCGGTGTGCCTTTAAAATAAATACAATTATATAGAAGAGTTGTTTTACTCACAGCTGTAGACTGAAGGGGACCCCCAGCACCTCGAACCGCTCCATCTCAAAGTCAACACCGATTGTCGCTTTATAGTTCTTATCAAATGTATCTTTACAAAATCTGTAAAAAAATTAAACAAAAGTTTTAATTGTTTTTATATTATAGATAGATTATGCCCTCTTTGAACTTTGGAAATTAAATGAAATTAAAGTGTCAATAAATATCTTTATCCTTGGGCCAATTGCATGAAAGGTTACTCATTCACTGCTTACCTATTAATCAGACAGGTTTTACCCACGGCTAGATCCCCCACGACTATGACCTTTGAAATTTTGAATCTGCTGAGGGTAGAAAAGAACAAACCAAGAAGAAGATTTTAAGTGAATGAATAATTATGATTTAACATGCACCGTGTATCTTGGCATGCCACCAGCTTTTCTCTTTGCTTAGGAATGTTCCCTGGTATGGCATTAACCAATTTTGAGTATGATTAAATGTGTTTTTATTCATCAAAAGGACTTGTGTTTGTACGGAAAGATGGTTTGTCTTATTCATATACATTATTGTTAATGCCATAATGAGGAACATATAATATAATGAAAACTTTACTATCATGTAATTAGAACTGCAGCCCCACGGTGTGCAATGAGTGACACACAAATGTCCATTGTTAACAGAAATTCATACCATAGCGCATTAGATGGGCTTGGTCAATATGGCTTGGAGATGATCTAACACAATATTCTATTACTTAGTTACAGTCAATACCATTGACAGTGTTAAAAATTAGCACCTGTGCTATAACACTTACAGCAATGTATCTGGTTCGTCCAATGTTATTGTTATGTCCATATTAAATAAATAAAAATTCTGACGTGTATTATTAATTTTAATAGGGGTGTAATTAATTATTTAAATGACTGATTGGTTGTGTTTAATCAGTTCACTTGTTACCTACATTATAACAAACTGGTTGTAGTTGAATCATAGGTACACTCTCAACTTCCTGGTGGCATCACTGCTTTTTGCTTGGGTTCCTTAAATATTGTTGTTTAGCCAGGATATTTATACAGTTTGTCATTAATAATAAATCTTTACTTTTACATTGGAAACAATACTTTGACTTCACACAGCTGAGTTACAAGTTACATGTTGTAGGCTACAGTCTTTACAGTCTGTTGTAGCCATATGCCGTAGAAAGGCTATACCCACAGATTGTATAATACAGATGGACAATCAATGTCAAAAACACAGTCTGCCCTCACCCCACGGTGCCAGTGCGCTGCTCCTGACAGGCAGTCTTCACTTTGTTGTTGAAATCATTTTTGGTGTGGAGAGCAGCCTCTGTCCTGTAAAACTGACCCACCACAAACAGACCCAAGGCTCAAAAAGATCCAGATGTGGTGCAGTATTACCTGAGGGAGCTGAGCAATGATACGGTCCCGTCTGATTGGAGGAAGGACACTCATGGCTGATGCACGAGTAGACATATGATCAGGAATGTATCAAACTACAAAATAGGAAAGAGGAGGTTCAACAATGCAATGTAACTTTCGGAGGATCTGCTTGCTTGTCATGATGGATAGGCTTATACATTACTTAAATTTTTACACAGTATTGCATTAAAGCTGGGACACCTTCATTTTTACGAATATTTATACAATTTACTTGAGAGTCTTGTAAAAGACAAATGTTAAGAACATGTCAGACCATAACATGTCGTCTTCATCAATGTCAGACAAATGTTATCTTTTGCATATGAAGACACAAAAACCGATCTAAAGATGGAAGAGATCAAAAACACATGCATGTGGAAACTAGTGATGTAACTAGGCTGTTTTGAAAGTGAGGAACTCGTTGGATATCATTGCATAGTTTGATATTTAGGTACCCCATCTTTAACCAGAGTCGCACACGTTTCCAAACAGCATGTTGCCGGTTTGTTCACTTTATCACGACTTTCTGTCGGGACAAGTAACATGTATGATTTATGGAACGGTGCCCCCGCTTTCGCAGACTAAAAGCTACTACATGTTTGCCATATGTAAGTCTTATCTCCATGGAGACACGCAGAAGCCGGAATGCAGCTTTACCTCACGCAGAGTTGGCTACAACCAGACAACTGTAATCACTGCAGCTCACTTTGAAGTCCACACTGGGATAATCCTTTTGTCTACAATTATAGAGATACTGTAAATTGAGACTAGAGTTTTGAGAAACTTTACCAAATTAAAGTAACGAGAACCGCAGCGAGTCACGTCAACAGCAGAGCGCACTGCCCACGCACAGCGTCCCAAACTCTTCCCTTTTCCTTTAGCCTCGTGCTACAGAGATACGTACACTTTGTTACACACTTTGTTACACACTTTGTTACACACTTTGTTGCACACTTACCTACGGAGGAAGCCCTCAACTTTGACACGCGTTTCGTGGAACCTCTATGAAGAAGCATTACAGTGACTCCCAGTTACATGTCTTTGTCTCGAGCTAATAGCGGAGTATTTACAACATGAACAGACAGCCTTCCCCGGGACACTGCGAGTGCGGTGAGGAGGGGAAGAGGAGGGTGAGGAGGGGAAGAGGAGGAAGAGGAGGGAGAGGAGGGAAGAGGAGGGAAGAGGAGGGAAGAGGAGTTTGGGAAAATGCACGCGCCCCCTGTTGGTACAATCGATAAGTGCAAGAGGCTGTTGGAAGGACCGCCCACGTGCCACTGCTCTTTCAAGTCAAGATAAGATCAGATAAGATAATATAAGATAAGATCATATGACAAAAGATAAGTCTTTATTTGTCCCGCAGTGGGACAGCGCACATTACAGAACAGATGAATAAAAGGAGCACAGAAAAACACAAGAAATACACAAGATAGGAAAGACTAGACAAAAACGCATTATTAATAGTAATTATCCATCTTTCTGAAACTGAATCTGTCTGTCCCTTTGAGCTCAAAAGTATGGATGTTGATCTGAGGCCCTGTAGTTTTGGCTTTTGGTCACTCATTTTCTCCAATAATAAGTGGGAAAAATCTTGCCACTTAAAAATATATGAAATGTAAAGGAGTGTATTGAAGGTTTGTGGGGATACTATTTGACTAGAATGACCACAACAATACCCTTCATCCCAGAATGTTTGATTTGACTTTAAGTCTAACGACCTGAAATGGGTTAAAAACACTGACCGAGTCGTTAAGAAAGCTCGTCAGCGTCTCTACTTTCTGCGTAAACTTAGAGAATTTACCACTAACTCTAAGATTCTGCTTAACTTTTATCGCTGCACCATTGAGAGTTTACTTGTTGGTTCTGTGTCTGTGTGGTTTGGAAACATCACAGATAAAGAAAAGAGAGCTTTAAACAAGGTGCTCCGCTCTGCAAAGAGGACCGTGGGCTGTGAACTTCCTGTTCTACGTCATGGTGCTACGTCCCTTAGGACTTCGCTAGTGGGATATCCCTCGTGACCCCCAGGTCACACGCCAGAGAGATCAAAATAATTTGCTCCAATCACCAGCCACCCTCCTCTATAAATGCCCCTGCACAAGGCCGCACCCCCTCTTTCACTCTGGCGCCGTTCGAGATCTACCACAGTACTTACTTCATTCTGAGATGTCTTCCTTGTTCGTCAGAGTTCCCTTCGCCCTCCGGCGTCGGACGTCGTCACTGGATCCAGACGGTGGAGGACTTCACCTCTGTGGGTGCCACCACTCGAGGAAGGAGGAGGATGCAACCCACGTTGTGCCCGCGAAAGGACCCGTTCGTCCATTACGCGACACGTGAGTGGCCTAAGCCCCTAGCAGCCAAGAGGCCTGCTCTGGGGCACGACATATACTGCAGCGGGCAGGACTGGTCCTGGACCGGTGATCGAGGATTCAGTCCGCATGGCCCTGCACCCCTCCGCATCCGTGTGGCCCGGCACCAGACCTCTCCTTCTCTCCGAGCGGGACAGGATGTCTTGCCGAGGCTGGATAGATATTATGCCAATGCGGCACAGGTCGTCGCATTGACTAACTACATGGCATTCATCACGGGGGCCCTGGATAGGTCGCTCTCCTCTGGCCAGGCGCTCAGTGGAGACCTCCTGTCACAGGCGAGGACCACCTCGGCGGCGACTCTGCGCATGTGCCAGACGCTAGCTGTGGATGGTGGCCGCTCCATGGCAGCAGCCCAAGTCGGGCCAGGCACCTTTGGCTTGGGCTGGCTAATATCAGGGAGGCGGAGAGGAGGCAGCTGCTGGACCTGCCCACCTCTCAGATGTCCCGGACATGCAGGCCTGGGTGGCGAGACTGGAGTCTGCAGCTAAAGACTTGGCTAGGCTAGCGCCGCACCTAGCACCGAGGCGCGAGGCCCACCAACCATCACGGAGCCGGGACAGAGGTCGAGAGCGTTGGCCCGGGAGGCATCCTGACCCGTATCCGCGCTCTGTTATCCATCGTCCCCCCCTTGACGAGGCCCCCGGGTCCAGACAGACCCATGGGTGGCTCGCGGGAGCAACGCACCCACCACCGACCTCCCTATGGTAGAGGAGGCCGGGGTGGAAAAATGTTTCCTTCAATAAAGGCCGACCGGCATTTCCATTACTTTTCTGAGTCTCATTTGGGGGTATGTAACATGTCAAATATTGTGAATTCTGATTGTGTTACTTCCCAGGCACATAACGTTGCTTCGCTAGGCCTGCAGCCCCAGAGAGGGGCGTGCAGTGCACTACGCGAACTACGAGCTCCGGTTTCTCTGATCCATACTATGCCCTCCCAGAGAGAGGTCAGACGGAGGGATCTGGTGAGTGATATGTGTGTGCTTTGGCCGAACGCGTGTTAGCATCTCTGAGCTACAGGCTAACACGGGGTTTCCCACTCCAGGGACTCGCCCCCCCCTCCATGAGGCAAGAGCCAGGGGGGGGGCACAGCAGCCGAGTCACGTGTGGTGAGCAGTCCCGTACTTATGACGTCGGGCCTGCAGGACACGTGACCGCCCCCGGCGCTCACGGTGTGACGCAGGGGGCCCCCCGGCCCTTTCGTCCACCCCCCCTCCCTGCTAGGAACACCAGGAGAGGGCGGGGCCGTGACGTCTCGTGTTCCAGCTCCCGTTCCGCTCCTCACAGACTTCTACAGCATCTGGAGGGAGCAAAGATGGCTGACAGATCTATGGCTGGAGAGAACATCGCGCAGGGGTTACGCACTGCAATTCTCCCAGAAGCCACCACCATTCCGAGGCGTACGGGCAGTACGCTCTCAGGTACGGGGTCATTAGAGGCACTGCAAGCGGAGGTCTCCTCTCTGCTGAGTCTAGGCGCAGCAGTGGAGGTAGACCCGCAGGACGCCACCAGGGGGCTGTACTCCCCTTACTTCTTAGTGCCAAAGAAGTCAGGCGGGGTGCGTCCCATTTTGGATCTGCGCGTGTTAAACGAGTGCATTTCCAAACGGCAGTTTCGGATGCTGTCCACAAAGCAGCTCCTCGAGTGTGTCAGGCAGGGAGATTGGATGTCCTCCATAGACCTGACAGACGCTTACTTCCACGTGCCGATAGTGCCGGAACACAGGAGGTTCTGCGCTTCGCAGTGGGAGAGAGGAATTACGAGTACTGTCGTTTTCCCCTTGGGCTACGCACTCGCGCCGTGGAGCAGGGGTAAGAATTTAATCTACATAGACGTCGGGTTAATTCTGGCCTCATCCAGGGAAGTGGCCGTGAGTCATACGCACTGGGTCCTGTCCCACATACAGCGCCTGGGCTTTGTGGTTAACAGGGAGAAAATTAACAGTTACCTTTGTAACTTAAGTTCTACGAATAGGTGCACGTGATATCCCACTAGCGAAGTCCGCTAGGGGACGTAGCCAGGGCTGGACTGGGACAATAAAACGGCCCGGGCATTTTTTCCTTCTTACCGGCCCAGGCATGTTTTTGTCACGTTTTTTACACTTTGTTTATACCAGGGATCTGCAACTCAAAAGGTTCAAAGAGCCATATTTGACAAAAAATACTAAAAACATCTGTCTGGAGCCGCAAAAAAATAACAGCCTTGTATAAAGCTTATATGAAGGTTACACAATGTAGCTACATTAGCCTATTATCTAAATGACCAAGTAAAGGCTACAAATACATGATTAGCATTCATGATTGTCAAATGTGTGTTTTCACTGCAGCGTGTCCTGGAGAGAATGACGCACCACGTGATGACTCTGCTTTAACTTCATGCAACTGTAGAAATACAGTAAATAAATCTGCTTTTTGGCTCAAAGGTCACACACCTGCACTGTCCGCTCATATCGATTACGTCACAGGCTGAAGTTTGCTGGAGCTGAATGTCCTTAATGGCCTTTTCCTTCACAGTCTTTGCAAAGGTTTTTGAAGTCTGAAAAAGGTGCTCCGGATTTTGTATGAAAGAATCCTTCACGTAATCCCTGTGAACGGTATTTAGTGCTTCATTGTTCCTCGTGTTGCAACAAAACTTCCTATTACATCGCAAACATGAAGCAGTCCTTCCTCATTGACTGAAAGCAAATGTTCAGTCTTGTTCTTAGTCCAGTCTTATTATCGACTCGTTCTCTTTTTATCTTTGGGATCCGTGCGCACACGCCGGTTTGTTTACAGCAGCAGCCGCCTGGCACGGGGCCGCGCCGCAGGATATGACTCACTACGTTGACAGAAATGTTGAAATTGAATATTACTTATACACATTTTTACAGCATTGAAATACGTTAGGAATGCTTTTCCTCCTACAGAAACCACATTCAAACTAGGAATAAAATATAGCCCTCACACTCCATTTTCAGACATTTTTGAAAAGGCTCCAGGAGCCACTGGAGGAGCACTAAAGGTTGCCGACCCCTGGTTTATACAGTATGTGGAAGCAAGTACTGTAGAGGATCAGGATGTCTACAGTTTCAACAAGTGCAATAGTCTACATTAAACAGAGTAATAAACATGTCTCAGAGTGAGGGAGGTGGACACAGACAACACTATTGTTTGTTACAGGGATGAGAATTGGTCAAAAAAGTCTGAAATGCATAATGTCAGCCATTGGCTGGCTCTAAATCTGTTTAATTGTTTCACAACATTTTACTTTTGGGCTCAAACATGAACTTTTAATGCAATGGAAAATTTAGGCACCCGAGCTTTAATTTAGTCGCACTTCGAGAGGAGAGGGGAGACGCGGACTGTTTTCTGCAGCGGTGTATTTATTGGGTGCACAAATTACGCAAAGACACGCATGGTCCTGTGCGCGTTTATGGTCTTGGGTACATGGTCACGTTGCGGCTACGCGCTCACCGTGTTGTGTTGTGAGCGGTTCCCGGTGAGCGGTTCCTGCGTCCAGCTCAGAGCCGCTGGATACGGGAACACTGCGGCCGCTGAGGTGGTGGAATCCCGTTCGAGTACATACAGCAGGTGCCCCGCGGACACGCGCGCTCCCCTCAAACATTTCTCAACGGATTTACACTTTTCACAAACATGTTTTTGTATGAGGCAGACAGACCGGCCCAAATATGGGCATCGGCCCTTCTGGCATTGCCCGGTACGCCCGATGGCCAGTCCAGCCCTGGACGTAGCACCATGACGTAGAAGCAGGCTGCAACCGGCTCAGCGCATGATCTATCTCGGTCTGCAGCTAGACTCTGTGACATTCCGTGCTGCATGGTCCGTGGACAGACGGATGAACACTACCCGTCTGCC